CTGTGGGAGGAGATGGGGGCAAGGGTTGGAGAGGGAGAAACTGGGTCTTGGAATGTTACTTGAACCCCTGAATCAAGCTGGGCTTAGAGCCAGCCATACCCCATGGACCTTCCACTTCTGACAAAAAGTAAATTCCTTTGAATCTGCCCTGGGTTGGGTTTTCTCCTTGCATCACAAAAAAATCTGAACTGATACAAAAGGTGAGAAGAGAGGAGCTCCCAGGCGTCTGACTTCTGAGTCTTGGCATCATCTTCCAGGAGGTCATGCTGTGGCTTCCCTCGGTTCCAAGGCAGAGGAATGGAAGCCTGGATGCTCCGTGCGCATGGCCCGCATATCCGGGGTGGCCCAAGAGCACACCAAGGTCCGTAGGAGTAGATGAGAACCATCTGGACCGCTCATTGAAGGCTTAGGCCCTGAGGTAGGGCTGGGTCCCTGGAATGTGGACGCTGAGCCCCAGGCCCAGGCCAGAGAGTATCAAGCACTTCTCAGGGGAGCGTCCAGCTCCCACCTCATGATGCAAAAGGACCCCCAGATTCTATGAGTTACTAGAATAAGAGATGGGGCCCTGGCTGGTGTGGCTCAGTGGATTGAGCACCAGCCTGTGAACAAAAGTCACCGGTTGGATTCCCAGTCAGGGCACATGCCTGGGTTGCAGGCCAGGTCCCCAGTTGGGGGTGTGTTAGAGGCGGCCAATGGTATCTGCAGCACATCGATGTTTCCCTCCCTCTGTTTCTCCTTCCCTTCCCCCCTCTCTAAAACAATAGATAAATAAAATCTTTTTTAAAAAGAAAGAGAAAGGGATGGGGATGGGAACATTCCCGGACTTTTCCAAAGGGAGCAGTCATCACCAGGAGGAGACCAATCCCACCTTTCCCAGGAGCCCTTCGGGAATGCAGCTGCGAGCAGCTGGAGCAGGGATTACCGGAAACGGAGCAGAGGGACTGGGAAGTGCCCGGATGCTGTGGGAAGCGGGCAGGGCTGAGTGCCCTGGGAGGGATGGTAGGTGAGAGTCAGAATGTTCCCGTACGTTCTTTCATGATGGAGCCTTAGGGAAGTGTTCTGACCTCTCCTCTGACATAGGTGGGGGACTGGAATAGGGAGAATTGAGGTGTGGAAATGGGGAGCCCTCACTTTCTGTTGAATCTGGGAAGAATCACCCCGCATGTAGGAATAGATGAAAAGGCTGCTCTGAGTCTACCTTGGGAAGAATACTGGGTGCCCACCTGAATGAAGGTGTGGCATCCCAGACCCTCAAGGATTGGTGCCAAGGACTGGGGGGTCTCTGATGGAGCTGGAGAGTGATCCAGAGTCTGGGGCAGGGCCTGGGGCAGGTGGATTGCTGCAGAGGGGCCTGGTGTGGCTGGGAGGGGTCAGCAGGAGGGCAAGCATGTTGTGGGGAGACAGATATGAGGGGGCATGAGGCTGGTAGAGCCCTCCTTGCCTCGGCTCTTCTGTATCCATGTTCCTGAGGGCTCAGTCTTATCCGCTGGCCTTCTGCACACCAGCTGCCACAAAGCTAGGCAGGAATCTGCTTTGCATTATCAGAGGAGCCGCGTCCCCCAGGCATATGGTCAGCAGACCCCCCAGCCAGGAGCATCATGGGAAATGTCTTCTGCTGATCCCAACTCTGGCCCAGCCCCTTGTTCCCCTGAAGCATGGGGCTACGAGCTCAGTGGCTCCCACCACACCCCTCCCCACTGGATGAAGAGGCTTTTCACATTGTTCCAAATCTCATCTCGGCCTCATTGCACTGGATGAAAGAGAGGAGGAGGCAGGAGGGAAGGAGAAGGGGGTCTGCTGGGCCAGCGACCATAAAAGGTCTCTCACCCTCCAGCCTAGAGAATAATAGAGACAAATTTCCCCAACATGAGTGAGGAGGAGAGAGGCCTTGGGGACGGTGGGAGGGGTGGGAAGGGAGAGCCACAGACCTCGGGTCCGAGGAGACTGATGACACAGGAAGAAGCAAGGGAGCATCTCTCTGTCCTCTGAGCCCACTGGGGGCTCAGAATGAGTCCCTGCTCCAGGACATAAGAAGCTCTGGAGTTGGCCGATGTGATACCCATAGCCACCTGTGACCCCTGAGCACTCCACGGGGCCAGTCCAAACTGAGAGGTACTGTAAGAATAAAATTCTTTCTTCAGTAGGAAAAAAAACCATTTCATTTATAATTAAAAAATATTGATTACATGTTGAAATAATACTCTGGACATATTGGGCTAAATGAAATATTAAGTTCGTCTCTTCTGCTTCACTTTTTCGGTTCGTCATGTGGCTACTAAAAACTTGAAAGTCACATATGTCACCCCCATTCTCTTTCTATTGGACAGGGCTGCTCTGAGCACTCCATTCATTTAGTCAACAAAGTTTTATTGGGTGCTAGCTCTATGCCAGGCAAGGTGCTGAGGATTAGAAAGTGAGCAAAACCAGACCCTGTCTCTGGTTTCCTGGAGTTTACAATAATCAAATAATCACTCAGACGGGTGCCTAATCGCGAAGGGAGATAAGTGGTCTGAAGACAAGAGGGCAACGCGGTGCTCTCTGAACCCGGGATCCAGACGCGAGGTTTGGGCGCAGAGTGCTGAGCACTTCCCCGGGGGAGCACTGAACTGGGAGGTAACTTGGAAAAGAAGGGGAAGGAGTGTTCTGGATAGAAGGGACAGCGTATGCCCAAGCCTCGTGGCTAGAGGGGTCATCAAAGCTTGAAAAATGGTAAGACGGCTGGTTTCGGGGAGAACAGAGTGAGGAAGAGGGTGGCTGGCAGGGGCCTCATGCAGCACGTGCAGGCCGCATTAAAGATGGGACATGGGGACATCTGCAATAATGTTAGCAGTAAAATTTTTTTTTAAATGCCCTGGCTAGTGCGGCCCAGTGGATTGAGCACCGGCCTGCGAACCAAAGGGTCGCTGGTTTGATTTGCAGTCAGGGCACACATCTGGGTTTCGGGCCAGGTCCCTGGTGGGGAGCGTGCTAGAGGCAACCACACACTGATGTTTCTCTTCCTCTCTTTCTCCCTCCCTCCGCCTCTGTCTAAAAGTAAATAAATAAAATCTTTTTTAAAAAAGAAAGAAAAAAAAAAGGATGGGAAGTTCACGAAGCATTTTCATTAGCCTTCGTGGGGGAACTGGAGAAAAGGGGCTAAAGAAGGGCAAGCAGGGGTTTTCCACAGTTTAGGGGGTCGGGGTAAATGTTTAGTACAAGTCTTTAAGGCTCTCTGCCCCCCATCCCACCCCTACCCCGGAGCCCTAAGCCAGAGCCAGTTGCCTCTGTCTGCCTCACCCAGTCCTTTCGGGATGCGCCCTCCTCGCTGTCCTCGTGGCCCCTTCTCTACTCCAGGCTGCCCCTGACCACCTCTGGCCTATCCCGCTGCGCCCTCACCCTGCACACCGCAGCCAGAGCTGCTGCTCTCTAAACCGGAAATCTGTCTGTGGAAACCCCCCTGCTTACAACCCCAGGGGTTGTGCAGCATCCTAAGGATGCGGTCCAGATGCCTTAGCCTGTCTATTCGTCCGTCCTTCTCCGCCTGGCCCCGCTGACCTCCGCTCACTCTCCCACTCTCTGGGCGGTGGGCCCAGGAGCCTCCCCAGGCCCTGTGAGCTCTGCTCTCTCTCTTTAGGGCCTTTGCTGAGCTGGTTTCTCTGCCAGGAACACTGTCCTCCCAGCTCATTGATTCCACCCATCTAAGGACTCAGGCTCAATGTCTCTTTTCTAAGAAACCTTCCCTAACTGGCAGAAGGTGGGGGCTGGGCTGGGGCCTCCCTCTCACCCCTAGCGCGGCGCTGCACACCACCACCCAAGGCCCTTCTGCTACCTCCCCCCCTCCCCCCACCCCCGAGAACTGAAGATCGATGAAGGCAGGGATTTGCGTCTCCCTCGTTCACACAGGCAGCAACTGGCTCTCTCACCTCGTTGGAGGTGTTTCCCCATCGAAATGCGTGCCCTTAGGACAGGAACGGTGCCTCCCCCGTCAGATCGGAAGTATCCATAGATCTGGGACTGTGCCTCCCCATCAAATGGGAGGTTCCCTCAAGGCAGAGACTGTCTCCCCCGCACACTGCGTACTGGTTGTTACCCACTACCAGGCTCACTTCTCCTACCCACCCGCGCCCCCCACATGCACCTTCCTCACCACCCTCATGGCCTGGGGGTGGAAGATGAAGGTCAGCTGCCCCTCCAACTCATGCCTCACTCTTGGCAGGGGCTCGGCTGGCCCTCCCAGGATTTGGGGATCGGGAAGGTTTGTTTGCTTTTCTTTCTGAGAGCAAACCTCCCATGCTTTTCCCAACAACCACAAGCCAGCCCCATCAGGAGACCTGGCCAAGAGATCAGCAGGGGCCAAGAGGCTCTGATCAGCTGCCGGGCCAGCCTCAAACAGGGGAACAGGCCTGGGGCCCGGAACCCTGCAGCCCAGGGAGCTCCCAGGCCTGGGCCAGGCAGGGCTCAGAGCCAGGCTGGTAGGAGCCAGGTCTGGGACCTGCCTGGTAGAGCCGCAAGGGAGGGGCCTGCCCAACTCCAGGTCAGGCCAGCCGGGCTTCCTCCAGGCCATCTGGAGCCAGGCCCTGTGCTCGTGCATGTGTTGGGGCTTGGGGGGGGCGGGGTTTAGTGGTGGCGGATTGTCTTCCAGACCATGTGGGTGGCTGGGAGCTGCAGGGTTGTGACCTGGCCCTTTTAGCAGGCCTCTGGCTCCCTTGTGGTCACTTTCACTTTTGACATCTGGTCAAATTCACAGCTGGCCTGCTTCCTGCATGGCCATTTTCACTTTCCCTCTCCGAGATCCGGGGGCAAGGGGCCCCCACTCCTTTCTTATCCCACATAAATTAACGCCATGGCTAGTACACGTGAATTTGCTGGATTTCTGTTCACACTCCCCCATTTGGGGTGTGTGTATGTGCGGGGAGAAACAGGACAGGGACTGAGTTGGAAATTACACTTGGGTCCCTGTGACATGCACAAACCTCTGCCAACTCCAAGCACGTGCATTTGCAGAAAACCACTGCATGAACTTTCTTTCTTTGCTATTTAATGTTCACCATTTATGTTTTATGTGTAAGTTTCAGGAGGGCCCAAGAAATGATTACACAGGATGCAAGGGAAAGGTGTCAGGGAGTCCGGAGCTCGCAGCCCCCCACTGGGAGGACAGAAGTGGGGCAGGAGGGGCCCCAGAACCAAACACATGCTAAAACATACTTGCCACCCCCAACCCCCTCCCCAACTGCTGGGGAGGGAAATAAATACACTCAGACTCTGTCCCACTCCCAGCTGCACAGGTGAGGGGCCAGCAGGTGAGTTTCCTCCTCCCGTTGCAGATTGAGGTCAAAGAAACATCATCTATATACAGCGCTCCCAGTCCCTTACGGGGGTGGGAGAACCCTGGGAGGGGGAGGGGGTGGCTGTCAGTGCACATCCTGATCTGGGCTCGTTCATGCTAAATAGACAGGGGAGCCACTCATTCCAACATCAAGCAAAACTGAACAGGCTGGGAGGGGACCTTGAGGCCCCTTCCTGGCACCAAGCTAGGGAGAAACTGTCCTTTGTAGGGTCCTCTAAAGTTGGGACAAACCGTCTAAGGGCTGGCTACAGTTCGACTCCATTCCTTCTCGCTGCATTCCCACACTGGTCCACTTTTCTTCATCACAACCTTCGGGGCCCGGCCAAACCCAAGGCTTCGGGGAAGGGGAGGATGTGGGAGCATTCCTCCACGTGCAGGCCCTTGGAAGACAGGCGCCAGCTCAAGCCTCAGCCGTCCTTGGCCCGCCAAACCCGGGGGCGAGGGAAGCCAGCGAGCAGAGTTCAGTCCCCTGTGATACTTGTCTGGCAGCTGCCCCGGGCAGGATCCGGTCCCAGTCTAAGAGAAGGAACTTGTGGAGAAAAGATTTCTCATCCTGTGTGTATCTGTGTTGTGGGTGGGTGGCAGGCTGCGCGGGGGTTGGGGGGGGTGGTCCTCAGCCCAAGCCCCAGTACTACTTGTGTCAGCTCTGGGTCTGGGCCAACACAGGGCAGGGATGGGGGGGGGGGGCGCCTGCAGACTGGGCCACTTCACAGATGCCACGTGGACACTCCTGAGGGTGGACAGGGAGAGGGAAGCAGCACCCCTTCCTACAACCTCCAAACCTGACTTGGGTTGTGATGGATCGATGGACCAGGCTTTGGGTAAAGTATCCCGTCTCCATGGGAGTCGAACAGGCCTGGAGATGGTGGAGGGTGGACCAGATTCGGCTGCAAGACCTTTCCCAGAGGGTCGCCTGGCTCCCCTCTCCCAGCTCTTAAGAAAACCTGAAGCCTGCACCCCTCACTCAGAGAGGAGGCCAGGCCACATCTGGCCACCCTGTTGGTGAGTGGCTCCGGGCCAGTCACTGCCCCTCTCTGGGCCTCGCTGTCCTGTATGTAAAACAAGGAGGGTGGACTGGATCTCAACCCCGCTTCCGGCTCTGACAAGCTTCCGATCCTCTCCACCTTAGGCCAGACAGGAGACGCGGTGGGGCTTTAGGCCACGTCTAAGGCGGAAGGGTTTAGGCCATGACGATGCTCCCTTGTTCCCCAAGTTCACAGTGTAGAGTCCATGGCTCTGGTTCCTCAGTCTCTCTCTCTGAGTCTCTGGGGCCTTATCCTCACCCCACCACCATCCCTGGGGTCAGCCCTCCAGGTAGGACACCTGCTCCGGTGGGAGGGGCTGGCCCACCTGGAAGTCTGGGGAGAAGGCAGAGATGGTGAGGGGGCAGGGGCGGGGAGGGAGAGGCAGCAGGGGCACTTCTGGTGCTGGAGAGGGAGCGTGATCAGAAGCGATGGGACCACAAGGGGCAACGACAGGGCTGCGATTTAGGGGCTCCGGGGGCCCCCCCGGCCCTGCCCAGAGGAGCTCAGCCCTGACACTGGCCCATGGGGGTCGGCCAGAGCTTCAGTCACCGGAGTGGGGGCAGGGCAGGGGCCCCAGGTTGGCTCAGACAGGGGACGTGGCAGTGGACTCGCTGCAAAGGCTCTCAACAATGTCGGCTCGCTGGATGCGGCGCAGGGCGGCCAGGAGGGCGTCGAGCGTGGCGCTGTCCTGGGCAGCCCAGCTGGTGAGCAGGGCCCGGACCGGGCAGGCCTCGTGGGTGAAGGAGTCTATGTGCTCGGGCTGGTAGCCCAGCTCATCTGCCAGGTGCCTCCAGGTGTCCCCCGCAGAGCCATTGAGCAGCTTCTCCACCTCCTCCCGCTTGGCCGGTGGCAGGCTGCTGTAGAGGCCTCCATCCCCCTTGAGGGCTGCCAAGAACCCAGGGGAAGTCAGACACTACCCGCCAGGCTCCCCTCCCCCCCTCGCAGTGAGCCTGGGCGCCTGGACAGACTGGAGAAAGGCCGAGGCATTTCTCCTCCCAATCTGGGGTGGCCTTCAGGGCCGATGGCCACTGAAGTATGGCCAAGATGAGGTCGGGGCCAGGAGGGGATGCTGACTCATGTGCCTTCCCCACCCATAGCTCCACACTCTCCCCACAACCTAACCCCTGTGTCCCTGCCCCCTGCAATTAATCAAAGCAGAGGAGGAGACAGGACTTTTAAGTCCCAGACTCAACTGTAGCAAGTATCCTGGAGCTGGACTATGGACCACTAAAATTATGGGACATAATTAACTACTTGTTCCTTTAAAGTCCAGGGCAGGAGGCTAATTGCAGCCACTTGGGGCAGTAATTAGCCCTAGGGGGCACAATTAGCATGATGAGCCTGGATGCTCCAATTTGTCAAATGGTCCATTTCCCAAGTCACTCCACAGGAAAGGACCTCCCCCACCTCTTCCCTCACCCCATCTTCTGTCCCTCTACCCAGAGGCACGGATCACCAGCCTCTCTGGCAGTCCTTCCTACAGTCTAACCTTAATCATTCCTGCCTGCCCTGCCTCACTGCTCACCCTGGCCCGCAGCTGTCTGTGTGTGGGGTTGCTGGTCGTGCAGGCTCTGGCTGTCCACAGAGATGCCGCTGTCGCTGTGCAGCTTTTCTCCCTCAGGTGGGGGGGTCTGGTTCACCGTCCGGCTGTTGGCTCCTTGCTTGTTCTGCTTGCAGCTGTTCCACCTGGAGGCGGAGGACAGGCCCAGCCTCAGCCGGGAAGGGCCACCCCAGCCACGTGGCCCAGGCATGTGCTCTGACGTGTGGGGGCCCGGGGCATGGTAGGGACCCAACTACCACACCGACCACAGCACCTGAGGTCCTTCTTCCCCTACATAGCAGCCCCTGGCCTGCACTGAAAGCATCGTGAGGGCAGAGGGGCACTCAGGGCTCAGTGCACACCGCGTGTGTTCAGTCACTGTTCAGGGAATGAATGACGTGCACATAAACGGCTTTCCAGAATTCCACGTTTCCCAATCTACCCTAACAAAACATCCGCACGTGTGTGCAGGACACAGACACATGTGTGCAGGACACATACAGTGCAAGGACTTCCTCTGCTGGGATGAGCACTAAGAAAACCTGAAAACAGACCACATCCATCTGCAGGAAGCTGGTTAGATAAATTCTGGTCCACCCCTGTTGCTGAACGAGCGGTTACTGGGGCTCAGGTAATCTGTGTGTCCCAAAGGAGGTTCTCCTGGGGGGGTCAGAGAAGAAGTTGTAGGTTGTGCACAGTGTGATCCCATCAATGCTAAAATGTACATGTACCTGTGTGTTTACGTATAACTAAAAAGTCTTACATACATGTGTTTATAAATGCGCAGAACATGCTTGCAAAGGACCCAAACAGATTCCGATGATAAAAGGGGGAGTGTTTGGGGAGGTGAAAGGGGGCTTTTGTTTTTTGCTTTACGAGACATTACTCTTGTTTGCATTCTCCCAAACAAGTGTATATATTATTCTGATGTTTGTTTGTTTGTTTGTTAAGAATGAAAAATGCACTTAAACATTTAAAATGTTTTCTGGGAGTTCTTGCACGTGCTGGCTTTCTGATGCGGATGCCGCAGCTTCTTCGGGATGTGACACGGGAGGGACGAGACACGTGCATGTAGGTAACTGTGTGTTAACAGGCTTCAGGGAATGAGGACGGAGGCAGGGGGCAAAGCAAGTTTTCTGTGAACAGTTGGGGGCTGGGAAGCCGGAGAGGGAAGCAGCCTGGGAGCAGGGTGGTGCTGACCAGGCCAGGCCAGAAACAGTCACCCTCCCTCCCGCCTGCTGGCCTACCATGCCCTGGAGTCTGTGGGCAGCTGGTGAGTAAGGAGGAGCATGTTTTGGGGTTGAGTTAAAAGACAGTGTGCACTTCCAGGTCAAGGTCGCAGTAAAGCCCAGCTTGAGAGCAAAGGTCCCTTTCTCTCTCCCCTGTCCCTTCTCTCACCTCTTGAAGGCAATGTAGGCCACGAGGCCCACGACCACCGCGGCCAGGATGGAGCAGTAGACGGGGATGAGGTTGTCAGTGGAGCCTCGGGTCACCATGGGCTGGGAGCTGCCCATCACTGTAGTTGCCACATCTGCTGCTGTGCTGGCCACGAGGTCTTGCTCTGGAGGCGCTTCAGGCTCCTGGGTGCTGGGGGCCGCGCTGTCCGAGCTCTCGGGGGGCGTGGATCGTGTAATCCAGCGGCCAGGGATCTCTGGCAGGAAGGGTGACAGGACTGAGTGCCCACCCCGCTCAGCCCCTCCCTTTATGATCTGACCCACCCAGCACTTCTTCCTGAGTCCCCAGCCCACTCCACGGGCTCGAGTGCTCAAGACGGTGCCCGTGTGGGTGAGGACTGGAATTCGTGTGTGATGTTATGATGATGGAGAAGAGCAAGAGCCTGGGAATTGGGAGACCTAAACCCCCTTTGGCTGTGTCACCGACTTGCTGCATGACTCTGGATCAGTCCCTTTGACTCTCAGGACCTCCATTTCCCTGCCCATAGAATGGGGATTTAAGAGAGATGATCTCGCGCTGGCTGGTGCGGCTCAGTGAATTCAGTGCCGGCCTGCAAACCAAAGGGCCACTGGTTTGATTTGCAGTCAGGGCACAGGCCTGGGTTGCGGGCCAGGTCCCTGGTAGGAGACACGCAAGAGGCGACCACACATTGATGTTTCTCTCCCTCTCTCCCCTCTGTCTAAAAATAAATAAAACCTTTAAAAAGAGAGAGAGAGAGGGTCTCTATAAGCTCCCTTCCATCCTGGCGGTGGTCATGGTCCTGGAAATCTATTCCGCCTCCCCTGGGGACCCAGAACCTGGCCCGAAGGTGCACACACAAAGAGGAGAGTAAGGCCCGGGAAGCCTCTAGCTGGCATCACCCTGGGAAATGCTGTAACCTCTCTGACCCTGGGTTGCCCCAATGGCCCTGGTTACCCTTGTCCTAAGGAGGGATGAGGGCACTCAGGTGCCCTCCCCGACCGCCCCCCCCAGAGCTGGCACTCAACCTCCTCTCCAGTCTCTGCTGTCCTGGCTGTAGGCTTAGGCAGGGTGGGGATGCCAGGCTGGCCGGCTCCCTGCATGGCCCTCATTCCATCTAGTCTTGCCATCCAGAGAACGGTGTCGAGTAGCTGGAACCCTCCTTGGGCAGGAAGCAGGCTGGTGGTGGAGAGGCCTCCCTCGCAGGTACTGCCCAGGACACTGTGCCTTGCCACCCTCCTAGGCCTTCTCATGCCGGCTGGGTCCTGCCAGCCTCAATGGCTATGTCCTGACCCCAGTGGGTGGGATTTTCCATTCTGTCACCCAGCTGGGGGGGCAGGTCCTGGGGTTACGGGCTCTGGACCGCCGGAGGGTACCTGTCTGGGCAAAGCTGCCTGCCCTATCTGTCCTCACTTCCCACACCTCGGGCTGGGAGGGGAAGCAGACGGGACATACCAATGGGGTGATGGGGAAGGCATTTTGCTCCTTCGCTCAGCCCCACCCGGCTCCCAGTTTGCCCACCCAAGCTGGAGTCAAGGGTGCCCACTGGTCTCTGGGCCTCCTTGGCTCAAGGCTAAGAAGCTTCAAAGGGCCCTGTTTTCAGCACCTCTGAGAGGCGAGGCCCCCAGATGTGAATCTGGAATACATCTGGTTGGCACTGGGGAGGGGGCTGCGTCTGCTACCCCATCCCACCCCTCCACCACCTCAGTCCTGGGAGGGGTTGAGGTGGGAAGTGGAGGGACATGGCCTTGCCTTTGGCAGCCCCACATGTGGCGTTAGACTGGGAAGGGTCTGTACTTGTCCTGCTAGGAAACCGGGCCAGCTGGAGGGGCAGCCCGAGCCCCAAGGCTGACCCGACCCATGGGCTGAGGGCACTGCAGTGAATCAGGACATTACAGGGACTCTAGAGCGATGGGGAAGGGACAGGCCAGGCTGAAGACAGAGCTGTCCAGGGCACTTTCCCCACATTTCTCCGATACCCTCCGACGGGGGGCTGGGGGATGAGATCCAGATGTGGCCGTGTCCACCAGCATTCCAACCCGCTAAGCCCTTGGCAGGTCCTGACAGCCATTTCCGGCATGGGAGCTGTCAGACTGGGGGTGGAAAGAGAGGCCAGGTTATCCCTCCTAAATCCAAACTTCACTAGGGCAAATGGGGGGGGGGGTTCTGCCCCAAGGGTGGGTGAGTCACCATGTTGACACCTGAAATGTATATGCAAGAAAACACAATGCGCTGGAGGGGAAGGGGGCAACCAAACCATGAATCAAATTCCCTTTCCTGAAATGTTCCCTCTGCTCCAGAGCTGACATTTAACCCTCCAGAGGCTGGAGTAAAGCGGGGCAGAGGGACGAGGATAAACAGAGCCCTCAGAGAGACCCCCCTCCTTCAGGGTGGCTGGGAAAGTGGTTTCTCTCTGGGAGAAATCTGTGAACACCCCACAACAGCAGGGCCCACCCCTCCCCCAGCAGCCACCACCTTTCTTTGCTTTAACCGCGCCCCTGACTAAGGGCCCCCACCAGCTGGTCTGGACTTGCCCAGGGAACTGCACCACGTGCCTGCCTGTTGCCAGCTGCTGAAACTCCCTCTGCTCTCCTTGCGCCTGGCGCCACTTGCCTGTCTCCTAGCCCATGGCTGTCGCCACCAGAACCACCATGTTCGGTACCTCAGCCCCCAACCCCAAAACAGGAAGCTTCACTCACACCCCTGGCCACAGCCCGACTTAACAACCCGCTGCACCCTGAGCTTCCTGAGCCAGAGGCCATGGGAGGTGTGGAAGGAAGGCACGGTTGTGTGGGGGCCTGCTGGGGGCTCCCCACAAAGGAGACCTACCTCCCCGTCTGACTGGGGACTGACTGAAGGCAGAGGCTGGGCCGCCTCCACCAGGAATGAGTAATTTCCTGCAACCTGAGTGCTGGGACCTTCTCTCTTATCAGACTGAGGCAAAAGGCTGTCCATCAAACCTGGGGTCCCCTAAAGGAGATCTATGTTGCCTGTTCAAAGTTAGGGTATCCCGAGGGCTAGGGAAACAGCTAACTGGGCATCCAGCCACAGGGCGACAGAGAGAAAGTGAAGGCACCATCGACCTCTCCCTGCAGTGGAAAAGCCCACCCATCTTCCGGAGGCAGATGTCACCAACCGGAGACCAAACGGTCTCTCTCTGACTGCCATGGGGCTTCCTTTGCCCTCGCAGGAGGGCTGCCTCCTTCGAGCCTGTGCCTGGCTGAGGTGGGCACAGCCACCCCCATACACCCCCTCCCCCCAGCCCACCTGTGCACCCTGCCTGTCACCCCTGGGCTGCCACTCCCCTTCCTCCTCCACCCCCACCGCCCCTCCCCCATGACCTCCCTGCAGATCCCTGCCCAAACTTCACCCTCCACTAAACTGTAAAGTGACTGCTGACCCCGCCCCCAGGTACCATGAGTTGAAGTGGTTCTCTAACCCACACCACCGCTAGTAACCATAGGACCAGTGGAGACATTGAGGTCCAAGACAAGGGTCACCTCCTTACCTAACATCGCTCAGCCAGTAACAGGGTGGATCCCATCTTAGGTCCCAAAGCCATAAACCACCATAGACCTAGACCAGACCTCAGAGCGAAAGGGTCCCAACCCCTGAGGGTCCTCCCGCTGCTTCTCCAGTTCAGGAAGTCTGCTTCAAGGATCAGATACGTTTGCTCTGTACTCTGCTTACAGTGGCCACTTTCCAGCTTCTTACCTGCCACCTGTCCAATCCCTAGCTGGCAGCCACAGATTAATAAAGCCCTGGAAAATGAGTTGGAATGTGGTAGCTGCGCCTGGGAGGGGGAGGAGGAGGAGGATGGCTTTCCAAACACTTAGCCCAAATGACGAAAGAGTGAAAGGGAACCTCTGGTAAGAAGAACAGAAACCACTTCCTGCGGCAGGTTTCAGGGAGGGTGGCTGCTGGCTCCAGGCCAGGCCTGTCCCTTCCCGACCCCCAGGGGACGCCCTTCCCCAGCCTGCAGCAGCCGTGGCGCGCTCACCCTGGCACTCGGCGTCGGCCCAGCGCGTGCACTCGCGCACCTGGCGCTCGGTGTCCTCGCACACGGTGCACGGCAGACACGGGTCCACGTGGTTGGCCTCGTCAGAGTACGTGCCAGCAGGACACTCCTCGCACACAGTGTTCTGCTTGTCCTGGCATGAGAACACGAGGCCTGAGCCCGCCTCGCAGACGCGGCACGCCTCGCAGTGACCCGTAGTCTCATCCTGGTAGTAGCCGTAGGCGCAGCGGCACACGGCGTCATCCGCCTCCACGCAGGGCGCTGACATGCTCTGCAGGCCCACGCACTCGGTGCACGGCTTACACGGCTCAGTGGCGCTCACCACATCAGAGAACGTCACACCTGTTGGCAAATAGATGGGCGGGGAGTGCTGGGCCCTGACTTTAGCTGCTTGCTTTTGGGCACTTGGGTCGCAGGGGTTGCAGGTCTCCTTCGGTCTACCACCCCCTCCCCTGCCCGGGCGCTGACTCCCTCTTTAAGCCTCTACCCTCCCGTCCCTGATCCCAGGTCTGTGAAAGCTTGTGGCGGCACGCTAGGAAGGAGGAAATGGGTCAGAGGCCCCAAGCTCCAGGCCGTGGACTTGATGGCCGCGAGGTTTCCGGGTAACCCAGCTGGTGCAGGTGAATTTCTTGGCAGATTCTCTTAGAGAGCTCTGAGGCCTGTGCCTGTGTTCCCAGCAAGATTAAGGCACAATCTGAGCGTGGTTCCCACCCAGCCCTCCCCACAGGCCAGAGCTGGGTCCTGAAGCCAGCCCAGGGGATCAGGTGTGGCCTGAATGGGAGTAACTGGGTTAGGCTCGTAATTTCCCACCCATGGCGCTCCCCCACACTGTTGAAAGGCCAGGCTCTTGAGGGTGGGGATGGGAATCCCGGCAAGCTAGTTCAGGTACAGCAGGAGGGATTGAAGCTAGAAAGCAAGAAGGACTTGCATACATCGTCCTCTGCCCTTTCAAATGGCATAAAGGGGAGATTTCCAAGCTCCACTCAACTCATGCTCTCTTAATTAATGGGTGTGAGCTCCGGAATAAGGGCAGGGACGCCAGGGTCCTCGCCTCCTTGTGCAGAGAAGAGGAGGCTCAGAGCAAACCTTCAGCCTGCCCAGCCCAGGGTGGAGAACTCAAGCCGATCTCAATCCTAGAGGATGCATCCTTGCTCCAGGGGGAGGAAGAGCAGGGACTTAGCAACCTGAGAGCCACGGAAGCTCTGCTCAGAATGTGGAAGCACAAGTAGAGAGAGTAGCTTCTCACGGAAGGGAAATCAAGGCCTGTCATAGGGTCTCATCTCAAACTTTTCTAAAGGCACCGAGAAACAACAGGGAGCACTGGGTCATTATCTCGAGGGAAGTGGTTGGAAAAGCAAAGGAAAAAAAACAGGCGTGGCTGGTGTGGCTCAGTAGACTGAGCGCCGACCTGTGAATCAAAGGGTCTCCAGTTCAGTTCCCGGTCAGGGCACAGGCCTGGGTTGTGGGCCAGGTCCCCACTTGGCAAGAGGCAACCAGTCAATGTATCTCTGGCACACCGATGTTTCTCTCCTTTTCTATCTCCCTCCCTTCCTCTCTCTCTATAAGTAAGTAAGTAAGGAAATAAATAAATAAGTAAATAAAACAAGTGAAAAGGAAAGAAATCTGGGAAGAAGAGAAGACGGTCAGTTCTGGCAGAGGGACTGCTGTATTTCCCTTCCTAGGAATCGGGCAGATCTGGACTCAAACTGGATTCCATCCCTTACTGGCTGTCTGACTTTTGATGTTTTACTGGACTTCTCTGAGTTTTTTTCTTTTTCTGTAAAATAGGAAATGATATCTCCACTCGCAGGGTTGCAGTGAGGAGTAAGTGAAGTTCACCGTGAAGCCCTTGACACACAGCAGGGACCCTATAAAGGCTGGGCCCGTGGGGTGGGCAGTGATAATTGTGGTGAAGTTCAGTAGCAGAGATGGTTAGACAGCAGAAAGGCAGGATTTCCTGTCTGAACAAACAAGAGGCTCCTATCTGGTTGGCATGTGGCAGGCGGCTGGGTATAGTCACCTGGGAGGGGAAGGGAGGGCCCTGCTCATGGGAACATACAGAAAATCAGCAGAAAATTCCTGGGAGAGGGTTTTAGAGGGTGGGGAAAATGTGGTCTCTTTTGGCAGAGAATGAAGGCAGGAGCTTAATGGGTTTCCTCGTGGAAACGTTTTGAGGATAGAGGGAAGGTCCGCTGGGGTCTCCATTCCATAAAGTGGGCTTGTAAAGGCAGCCTGTTAATGCGGCTGGTGGGGAGTGAGGGGCGGAGGGAAAGGAGGGAGACAGATGGAGGAAATGGGAGGGAGGATTCCTGCCACCGCCCCAGAGCTGGGCTCTCCTCCCCTCCCCAGAGATGCTAGAACCTTCCTCTCCCAGGCTCTTCTACCCCACCCCTGCTTTGACAGAAGGTGAGTGGGGTCCCATGCTGGCAGACTTGGGGTCCAGGAAGGAGAGGCCCTGGGCTGGCGTCTAGGAAATGAGGGAGACAATCCTGGGCGGGGGGGGGGGGCTCCAGGCAGCAGTTGGCCAACCCTTCCCTGGGATGGAAACCCTGTTAGGCCAGGGCAGGTGGCCAGATGGCAAGGCCTTACAGGATGTCCAGTCTCCCCACGCAGTCCTAGGCATCTGCTGGGGGATGGAGTCACAGGGCTCACAAACACAGAGACAGGAAAACAGTATTGGAGCCCTGGCTGGTGTGGCTCAGTGGATTGAGTGCTGGCCTGCGAACCAAAGGATCACAGGTTCGATTCCCAGTCAGGGCATAGGCCTAGGTTGTGGGCCAGGTCCCCAGTTGGGGGGCACACAAGAGGCAACCACACATTAATATTTGAAAAACTATTAAAAAAAAGAAAACTGTTTTGGGAAGACCGAGGAGCTGCGGTTGCCTGAAGGATGGAGAGGTGCACAGGTGTTGTTGGTGGGGAGGTGTCCACAGTAACATTAGGCTGGCAGGTGTGTTCAGGGTTCCCCGTTCCTGTATCCTCGTTCCCAGGGAGATTAGGGTGGAGTATGGTTGCCACAGCCCCTCAGGATGGGCTTGGAGTGCCAGGTAGAAGGTGGGATCTGACTGTTGGCAGTGAGGAAAGGTTTCCGGGCAGGGTCAGGAACGGAGTACTGAGCCCATAGCCTGAAGGCAGCAACTGAGGCTGGGAGCACCCCAAGAGCTGGGCTCCTGACTCAGAAGCGCACAGAATTCAGACCTCAGCCCCAGCAACCCTCCTCCGGCCTCCTCCAGCAGCCCTGGAAGACAGGATTCTCTCCCCTTCCCAAGGAAATCTCAGGTAGCAATGGGTGCAGTGCCCCATCCCCTCCCCGATCTGACAGCACACCACGAGGACTTCCTTACACACTCCAACCCCCAGCCCTGCCACCTGGGGAAAGCTCTGCTTCCTTAGTCAGAGCTGGAGAACAGTTGGCCTGGGGGGAGGGGTCCCCACACCCTCCCAGGATCCCCCAAGGTCAGTCTACCGGCAGCCAGGATTTGATCCTCCTCCCCTCCCCCCTCCCAAACTCCGAGGGCAAGTGGCAGCCATTGATTTTGCAGCGCAGATGATATTTTTAGCTTGTCTTAGTATCAGCTACTCTTCCCACCAGGCCACACTCTGCTACCAGGCTTCTCTGCTTGGGGGTTGGGAAGGGGCTGCCTTTGGGATCCCCCATCAGGTTCCCCTCCTTCCTCTGCATACCTCTCTCATCCATCCTCAGCTGCCCCCCTCTGCCTCCTGCCCTGCCTCTGACCCACTTCTGGTGCCCATACTGTGGTGGGCAGGAGACCCTGCCCGGAGGCAGAGCACTTGTGAGGCCTCTACTGAACATGCCCCTCCCCAGCCCCTGGCTCCTCCCTTCCATTCCTCTCCCCTCTCCCCACCTGCCACCCTTTACTCACTGTCCAGGCAGGGCTCGCACACGGTCTGGTTGACTCCGCAAGGCTGGGCCACGCCCTCGCCCAAGTTGCAGGCTTTGCAGCACTCCCCGCTGTGGGTGTACAGGCCTGTGAGGCAGGCCTCCTTGGCACCTCCGAAGGACACCTGGGAGGGGGGAGATCAGAAGGTCAGACTGGTAAGAGAAAGGAGAGGGAGGAGTATCTTCTGAGGGATCAAACACCCCCTCCTAAAGCCTTCTATTGGAACCACCTGGGCCCCGGATGAGCTCACCATGGAGGTATTAGGCACATCAAAGCTGGCAGGAAGAAAGGCAGTGGGGGTCAGCAACCCTTGCAGGCTGCTGGGGATGTGAGGTCAGAGCCCCCCCATGCTGACCCTCTGCAAAGTTCACCTTGGGGTTACAGCTACTCTTAGAATCTCCAGGATGCACTGCGTGGGCACAGCGGCTTGAAGCCCCGCAGGGGGTCTTCAGCTGGAGACCTCATGAATGGCTGGATAGGCTGCAGCTCGCACAGGGCTTCCAGCCAAAGGGGCAACTGCAAGCCGAAATTTAGTCAAAATGCCACTTGCTAAGCCGCACACAGGCAGGGCTGCACCTATGCGGAGGGGAGCCTTTTTCTAATGATGGCTAGCAGGGTCCTCTCTATTCCAGATCCTTAATTCTACCATTCCGCATATTACACATCCAACGGCAGATATCTGGACCCAAAACAGAAGACAGAAGGGCAGGGGGGTCTTGGGTTCAAGTCCTGACAGCACTGGAAGCTCTGAGCTTCCATGCTGCCCCTCTCCAAGTCTCCAGCTCTCCACAGCGGTAGAGCAGCTACAGCTCACGGCCAGGGCCAAGACCAGCCAGTGGGCAAGAGTGTGGCTCCAAGACGTGAGAAGGGGTTGCCTGTTAGCAGTGATGAGAAAGTGGTGGCCCTCACCACCCAGCAGCCCTGCTCCACCAGGGTTTCACTTCCAGTCACCAGCCCTCCCCCCTCCCTGCCCCCCACGCAGCCAGTGGGAACAGTTCTGGAACCAGCCGAAAGGGGAGTCGGATCCCTGCCGCCGAGGCATCTCTGCTTGTGGATGGAACTATTTAGCACCAGATTCCCTAGAGGGAGGGGCTGCTGGCAGCTTGCTTTATATTTCTGTTCCTTAAAAAAAAAAAAAGGCTCCGTCTAATAAAACTCCCAAGCCTGTTTCCCTGGCCCCAGACCATGCAGCTCCCATCTGATCCTAGGAGGAAGTACGGGCTCTCAGGTTGGTTGTGGGAGCAGAGGGGAGCAGTCAAGGTCATTTTTACCAGATCATGACCAAGAACATTCCCTTCCCTCCAGTCCTTTAAGATATCCTGAGATCTCACCAGGGTTAGGGGGAGGCAGGGGGATGGACAGATTGGATCAGTCTAGGAGGCAGTCTGTGGTCCTCCAGAGCCCAGCAGGGAGGGCGCAGGCAGCCTAGGAGGGGGACCTCCGGTGTTGCAACCATCTCCTTCCAGGTGGCAAGAACACAGTGCGGAGCATGTGTGGACCACAAGTCCTGGGAGGAGTCCCATATACAGGCTCTCCTCTAGATGAGGGAGATTCCAGAAGGGTCTGTTTGGATTTATTTTCATCCTTTTAGGGCTCTACTTAAATCTCACTTCCTTGAGGACACAGAGCTGTGCCCCCCACCCCTCGCAGACCAGTGCAGCTGCCCTGAGAGACTCGGTCTCCCAGCTGACTATTCCTGTCTGCTCCGACACTGTACAGGATCCCCCGGGACTCCCCGAGGGCCCATCTGTGGTTGACCCAGGGCCCAACATGGTCCCTGGCACAAAATAGGGACCTCACAGAACTCCAGGGGACTGGTTTCTGGATAGCTGAGTTTCCCACAAGCCAGGGAGTTGCTTCCCTAGTCACCCTCTGTTTTCTGTTTTACCCATGGCGGCTGCACCATTCTCCAACCCTGGAACCATGTCTTCATGGTTCCCCCATGACCGAGGGACCCCCTATTTATGCCAGTGATTATTCTGGGCTGCTATGCAGTGAGGCCCTCACGTTCTTTATCCCAAATCACCACACTTTCATCTCTTTGAATTCTCCTGTCAGCTTTTTTTAAAATACTTTTTTCTGTCTCCTCCCTTCCCATCCAGGTATCAGTTGTCAATTCTTGCTGCTACCAGCGTGTGACCTGAATGGCCCCTCCCCCACCATTCTAATCTATTAGGTCCAACTGAATTTTTAGAAACTATGTAACCAGCCTCAGCAGGAAAGTGTGTAAAATGAGTGTAGGTAGATTTGAAGGAGGGGGGAGTCAATCCTTTGAATAAAAAGTGAGAGCTGTCCTACTGCCTTTGTCCTCGGCGGCCTCGATGGCTCTGAATCCTGGCTCATCAGTCAGAGCTGGGTGGTCTGGAACCAGCTTTGACTTTCTCTGGGCCTCTGTCTTCCTCATTGGGTCATGGCAGTACCGAGAGGGTTGCTGTAAGCAGTAAATGAGTGAGAGAGATGTTTATACACGTTGGGAGCCCTCTTCTCTCTTCCCCAAGGTCTTTCTTGCTTCCTTTGCGGCTGTTGGCCGTGGTCCAGTTAGTTAGGGTCAGTGAAGCCCCAGCCCTGGTGAGCCAAGGGGCTCTGTCTGAGTAGTTGTGGGTGGAGGGGCAGCCTGGTGCAAGTCCCTCTTCTTCTCCCTGCTGCAGCCCACCCTCCTCTCTCTTCTCCCCAGTCTTGCATCAGTGACCATGTGTTTCCTGCAATTGATTTGTTTCCTCTTTCAAAACACTGCAGTCCTCCCTGGGTAGTTCAGTTGATTAGACTGTGGTCCCCGATATGCCAGGGTTGTGGGTTCGATCCCCAGTCAGGGTACATAGGAGAATCAACCAATGAATGCATAAATAAGTGGAACAGCACATTGATTTTTTTCTCTCTCTCTCTTCCTTCCTCTCTCTCTCTAAAATCAATAAATAATCATTTTAAAAGACATCGCAGATCTGCTACTTAATAGTATGCTACTTTGGGTAAATTCACAATCTCTCTGAGCCTCCGTTTTTGCCTTTATAAAACACTGGGTGTTAGTATCTACTGCTCAGGGTTGCTGTGGAAAATTAAATGAAATAATTTATGCAAACCTGTCTGGTGTATACTAGAATAAATGTTAGGTATCAAAGAAGCATCTTCTCTTAGGGAAAGTGAACTGCCAACCCTAAGTGGGAGGTAGTGGGAGGGGAGGGCTTCGCCATCCCCCGAAAGAGGAAACCATCTAAGAGTGGGGGGGCAGAATAGATGCAATGAAAGGCTTAGCCACCAAGGAGCCTGAGAAAGTCGTGGAGACCAAAGGAGAATGGGTAATTTCTCTCCCTATAGTTAAGTAACTCAACAACTATTTGCCGAGCACTATACGAAATAGGAGTTTCCAATGGGACATGGTCCCTGATTTCTGTGGGAAACCACAGTCCTGTGAGAGAGAGGAAATGTCCCCCCAAACAGCTAGTCCAGAGGACAAGATGCTGAGGGGGGGAAGGCTTGAGGGAATGCCTTTATCCCTTGGACAGATGGGGAAACTGAGGCCCACTGGATCACGCTGCTGAGTGGCTGGATGCTCGGCCCCTGCCACACCCTGTCTTGGTCCAAGCCAGGGCAACCTTAGGAAGCCAGGAGGGATGACTGGGATTCAGGCTAATTGCTCCGAAATGGCCCATTTACCAAAATGACAGAAGCACTTGCCTGAAATTTACACTTATGAGACTTACTCATTTCCAGTTTGATGGAACGACTGAATCCCATTTTTGACAATGTTTGCAATCATTTTATTTGTGCCATTTCGAAGCTTTCAAGAAACTAAGTACCCTCGGATAAATTGACTTAAGAATCTGAAAAAAAAATTTCCATCTGACAAAATAGAAAACACACCAGAATAGTTGAAAGAATTTGAATATGAATGCTTCAGTGTGATGACTCCTAAGGATTCACTTCACAACAGCATCGAAAAAGGGTTTCTTAGGTGAATGGAGCCATTAGCGACCGCCAGGGCGTTGAAGATTTTTCAAATATGTGGAGGGTCTTTTGAGGTCGCTGCCAGCCCAGGGGAGGCACTGGCACATGCCCACGCCCCACCCCTTTAGACAGGCGCTGAATGTGGGTTAGGAGACCAGAGCAAATTGCTGAGGACGGTGCTGCATGAAGACTTCCAAGGGGGCGGGGACTCTGTGTGGGGCCAAGAGTCAGTTCCAAACTTTGGTACCAAGGGCATAGGGCAGGGAGGTAATCTCCAGGGCTAGTAGTGATTCAGGGCCTCTCCTCCGTCCGTGCTCGGGAAGGGAGAGGGGGCTGGCGTGCACAGGAAGGAGGAAGCTCCAAGCCAAGCATCCCGGGTTCCCAGGGCTCCGCCACTCATTGACTGGGAGAGCCTGGTTTTGTGCCTGAAGTTGAGGAGGTTCAGCTCCCTCACTGGTAAAATGAGAATAACTAAATTTATTCTGCTGGGACTTTAGAAGGATTTTAATACAGCAAGAGAAATTTACGCCCAGGGTTGTGCGTGTCTCATAGTAGGCACTCTACCAGTTTTATTATTCCCGCTTCCCCACACCTCGCCCCCAGGGAAGAATCTCCGTGCGCGAGCGGACCCGGTAGGTAGAGCCGGGTGGGGACACTCTCCTTCCCGGAGCCACCTTCCCCACCCGGCTGCCTGCGCTCTCCCATTTGCTGCCCTCACTGCATCCCTATTAGGCGCATTAGCCAGCCTGGAGGCTCCGGTTACAGACGTCTGAATGACAAAGTGCCTCCATTACCGGCGCGGCCCGCCAGCGGACCCGCCGGGACGCGCGCTCTGGTTTCAGCACTCGCGCCGCGGCCCAGGAAGCACTCGGAACACCGCGCAACCGGCAGAGTCTGCGCGGAGCCCACCTTCCCCAGCCCCCAGCGCCCTCCGCGCTGGCTCTGCTCCTCCCTCGCCTCTTCTCGGCTCGGGGGACACTCCCTCCAGCCCGGGGCCGAAGCCCACCCGCTCGCCCCTCCGGGTTCTACACCACTGTCCGCTCCAGTCCCACCTCCCCGCTCCTTTTCCCGGCGGAGAAGCATCTCTAACCCGCGCGGTGAGCAGACGGGCGAACAGTCACCCCCAAATCCCCGGAGGAAGCCATCGGTATGAACAGACCCAGGGAACCTGGGCTGAGCTTCAGAAAGGGGGCCGGCGCCTGGGGAGGCCTCTGCTCACCCGCGCTCCCTACAGCACCACTGGGGTCAAAGCCGCGCCGCCGAGAGACGCAGCTCCGACTTGGAGCTGGGACGCTGGGCTGTCCCCTTAGAAAGTGCGGGCAGTACCGAGCTGGGAATCAGGTGAGGACAGTCAAGCCAGGACTCTAGAGGGCTCGACTTGCGCATGGGATCTTAGCCAAATTGTTTAAACTCGGAGCCTCAGTCTCCACATCTGCAAAGCGGGGATCTGGGAGCGCGCTGCTCACCTGAAAGGTGAAGATGGCAGGTGGAGCGCGGATACCTCCTTCATTACCAAACCTTCCAAGGGCCCTCTGTTCATGGCCACACACCAGATCACAATTCCTGATTGTCCTGTCAGAACTTCCTGGCGGACTTGGGTCCTTAAGATGACCCGCAGTCCTTTGCCCAGACAGAGTCCGAGGCTTCCGCGCGCCTCGGTCTCGGTGCTCAGCGGCCTCATCTGAAAGCTGGGCGGGGCGCGGGCGGAATCCAGGCGCTGGAGCGGAGAGAACCGCGGGCGCCGCGGTGCTCAGGTCACTTCACTTAATCGAGGGCGGGCGCGCAGCCCCAGTGACACCCGCAGCCGCGGAGGGCACTGCCCTCGCGCCGCAGCGCCCCCTCTGGGCCGCCTTCGCCGGCGCGACCCTGCGCCGCGCGCCTGCCCGGACATTCCCAGCCTGGCGCGTCCCCGCGGTCTGCACCCCGGACTTGGCGGCGGCCAGATCCGGTCAGACAACGCCCACTCCATCCTGGCTTGTCCGCTGCGGGGCTTCAAGCTGCGAGAATGGGGGCTTCGGAGCAGCCCGTGAGTTGTGAGTCGTAGGGGAATCAGGGGAACGGGTTCACCCGGCAACGTGGGCGCTCTCTTCCCAGCTTCGGATCCCCAGCGCAATTTCCCAACTGGGCGAGGCCGCGAGAAGGAGCGTGAGACAGGAGCGGGAAACGTCCGTCCCTCTGCTCCCTCTTCTCGACCTGCTGCCCCTCGGTGGACCCGCGGGGCCCCGACCGCCTTGAGGTGGTCCGCGCTTCCTTCTCGGTCCTCTTTCACTTTGCTTCCTACCTCTCTCGCCGCCGTCCCTGTTCAGCCCTCCCCAATCCACTCTATGTCTCTTCAACCGACGACTCCCACTCCCCGAAGCTCTCCCTCCCACGCCCCTCCCCCTCATTGTCTGGCCAGTCCTCATTGTCCGATGCCCGGTCCCCTCCTGTCGCTTCAGCCTCCTCCCCCATTGTTCCATCCCCTGGTCTCCAGACCCGCTCGCCCCTCACATCTCCAGTCCCCGTCCCATTCATCCTTCTCTAGTCTGGGGTCCCATCCCACATGACCCTCCAGAAAACAAGAAGCTCAGGGAAAAAGTCGCCGGCAATAAAGCGTCCTCTTCCAAAGAACCCAGGCACATCCGAGAGTCCCAGGACCTCCTCCTCCGAGACCCTTACCAGCTCCTCCACACACACAACCCGTGTACCTGAGCACCCGCCTCCGTGCGCACCTCTGGCCCGCATCTCTACCCTGGATCTCAGGGGCTCCTCTGCACCCTGAGAAGCCCAGACACTCCTCTGTGGGTCCTAGCTTCCGAGCCCCTCTCCCGCTATCCATCCCCAGCATCTGGGACCCCAACGCTCTGTACTGTTTCCCTCGGGGAAACCTGAACCAACGAGATTCCGGTCCTGGGAAAGGGAGTGGGCTCCCCTCAAGCCAGCACTCACCCCCAGGAGCAGCAGCAGCAGCAGCAGGCGCGGCCGGTCCATGGCGCAGCCTGCAGCACCTGCCCGCATCCTCCACCTCCCGAGGCAGCGCCCGGCTTCCAGTTAGTCGGCTCCGCAGACGGATAGGGCTGCGCTGCGCTCCGGCACCCGCCCCCCGGAGCTGGCCGAGGCTCCACTCCCTCTGGCTGCTGGCGGGAGGGGCTGGGAGAAGCCAGTGCGGCGGCCCCGCCTCCTCTCCGCCCAGCCCGCCCACCCCCGGAACCGCGCCCGCCCTCCCCGCTGCCTCCGGGAGGGGAGAGGCGGGGAAGGGAGAGTGATCGGTGGGACGCGTTCCGCGCCCGCTGCTGTTTCTCCGCGACCTGGCACTCAGAGCCTCTCCCCCACCTCGCCCCGGTACCCAGAGTGCCTGGCCTGCACTAGGGCGCATCTGTCCCGGATGCTGTGGGCTCCGGACCAGGGCGGCTCCCGTTCCCCTCAGGCTGCGCCTAGCCGCAGGATTCACTCGTACCCATCCTCCTCTGCCATCCATCCCCAGCATCTGGCTTCAGCTTCTGTGCTCGGCTTCCTCCCAGCCCTTATCAGCAAGATGCCCACTGCCCGCCCTGCTCTTCATCTTCCGGTCCATCTCCTACCCCTACCTCTGCCCTTTCCCAGTGCCTAGGCCTGGGGAGAGGGCATGGGAGGAGTAGCAGGTGGCCTGACCAAGGGAATGTAAGGTGGAGTCCATTCCAACATCATCTGAATTCTCAAAAGACAGGTTTGAAGGGGTCGCAAGTGCACAGGCAAAACACAGGAAGACACACTCTCAAGCTCACATACATGTACTTACGTACTATATGTGCCCACACCATCCTCATGCATTCATGTAGACCTGCACGTTCTATGCATGCCTGTAAAGTGTGCAGCTGCACACTGAAGCACACATGCCCACTCATTACACACATGGCCACAACAAACATGTGTGTACCCACATGGTCACACACACATGTATGTGTGCTTGTCACCTCCACACGCACTCACAGGCATAGTCTCTTGCACAAGGGCACACACATTCTTGAGCACACACACTTAACACCCATACACAAACACACAGATGTGTCCTCAACAATATACTTCCACTAGACTATGTCCATCAGCTTAGGAGCTCCTTGCAGGCAGGGACTATGGTTTCTTATCTGAATGCCTGGTACACAGTAGGTGTTCAAACAGATCTGTAGAAAGGGAGAAATGGAAAAGTGGTTGGATGGACTCACACCCAAGTACACACCCATGTGTCACACAATCGCCATGAACCAGAAACCTCGGCAGGTCCAAATCGGAGGCCCAGCCGCCCAGGGAGTGTGCCAGCTGTCTTTTGGAGGGAGGCAACCCCCCCCCCACCACCCTGGTGTTCGCCCTTGCCTGCCCCCACTCTGTCCTGGTTCCCAGACACAAAGGAGGCCAGAGCTGTGGGAGGCCCGTCAACAAAGTCGTCCCAGCACCCTGATCTCGGCCACATGTGGACCTCAGTTTTGACTTTGAAAATGACAGTACTCACCTCTCACATTACAGGAAGGAGAGATCAGTGCCCTTGTGAGGAGGACTCGCTGACGGTCGGTGGGTGATTTCCTAGATCCGCTGGAGCTAATTCATTCATTCATGGGGAGACATTTTTGCCTTGTGAGTTTCTTTCCTGTGCAACCAACAAACTCCAGGAGACAGCCGCAGAAAGGACAGACAGACATCACTGTGCATGAATGTGGATGAGCCACCACCAGGATAAGAGGCCTGCCCACCCCTAGAAATCCCTGAGGAGTCCCCCCTCCGGGACAGGGAGCCACCTCGGAGCCGTCTCCTTCTCCCGTTGCTTACATGGCCCTGCCTTTCAGCTGAATTCATGGAAAGCAGGAAGGGGCAACGTTAGTCCTAACAGCAACACGGAGCTGCTTGCTACCACGAGTGTCCATAGTGTGGCATTAATTTAAATACTCCTGTTATTAATTTATGATCCCAGTTACTATTACTGCCAAGGTTATCCATCTCAACACAATTTAATATGACCCACACTACCATGGCTGGGCCTGGGTTATTAATAATTTCCATGGTCTTGATCATTTAAGCCTTACTCGAACAATTACAAACAGCAACTGTTGCTATTATTAGCAGTACTCCTATGATTAAGGCCGCACACCAGACCATGATGAATGCCGAGTGTTGGTGCAGGGAGTGGCCCTGCCAAGTTCGGAGGGGACAGAGCACTGACCCGAGAGTCAGACAGACCTTTCTGTGAATGCCCACACGGGCCATGCCACCCCGCACGGGTCACTCCTGTGTACTCTTAGGCAGGTGAAGTCACCCCTTTCTGCTTCCATTTCCTCATCTATAAAATGGGAACTTTTTAAAAGATCCCATCTTGAATGGGCACGGTGAAGAACAAATGAGGTAGCAGTGCTCCTCACAAGGAGAGACTCCACCCCCTTTACGCATCCAACGCACACGTGTGAGCATGTACTGCATGCCGCATGCTGCTCTCGGTGCCGGGGGAGGCAGCAGTGCGCACCAGCAGCTGCCCGCATGGAGCTGATGTTCTCGTGCTTTAGGGGTGTGATGTGAAGGGTGACTTTATCCTGTGACCCCTTGGCTTGGCCATATTGTAGAGAGCACAGCTGTGGTCAGGTGGTACCTTTGCTGCGACTGCCACCAAGACCACTGTCACCATCACAGCCACCTACACCAGAACCAGCACCATCGTGACCACCAGCATCACTACGAGAACCACCACAGCTAACGCTGCCATTACTCCCACGCCCCAATCATCCCCATCACCTCCACAACTGCCACAGCCATGGCTACCCCCCACCTTCCTTCACCCGCACCACCACAAGCAGCTGGGCTTCCGGCTCCAAAGTGTGCTGGACTGGGGTCCGACGCTTTCCCTTGGAACAGTGTCAGGGGCCCTGTGAAGCCACCGCCTGCCTGATCCTAGTGCCCTGATGGCTGTGACACTCGACCTCAAACATGAGTGTTCTTCAAAAATTTCTCTGTGACCCAGAGCCCCCAGGCCCCAAACCCTCAGCGCTGGCAGCCAGCACTCCAGGATGGGGGGGGGCGTGGGCTCAGGAGCTGACTGCAAGTGGGACCAGACAAGCAGCACCCCAGAGGCAGCGTTCTCATGGGAGGGTCCCCCAGAACCATCTCCCACCACAGAGCTGTGCATACAGAGGGTCCCTCCCCCAACCACACACACACCTGGGCTTCCTGGACCTAACAGTGACCCGAAGGTGAAAGGGCGGGGAAATCATTGCCATTCCACGTGGACCTGGGAGTGGGCGTCACGCTGTATTGTCAGGAGTTGAACTGGGTGTGCCCATGCCCTGTTTGTCTCCCCACCCCTCTGTCACCCTGTCCCTTCGGGAAGGCGAGCCCCCAACACACACACCCTGTTCTCTGGTCCCCTGGGACCCCGCCCGTCAGACCCTCTGAAGAACACGACTCACAGCTCCCCACGTCCCTCCCTAGGGAACCAGCCTGCGGCCCCAACCCACTTCTGAACACAAATGAAACCCCTGTTTACTGAGACGGCCCACGGCCCAGGAGAGTCACACAATTATCTCCTTTAATCCCCACTTCTGTGGAGAAGGTCCTGGGATCGCCGTTTTACAGAGGAAGAGACCAAGGGTCCAAGAGTTTAAGCCACTTGTCCAAGGGCCCCTGGGAGGAAGCAGTGGTACTATAACTGGCCACTGTGTCGAGCAGGGCTCTCCACAGTGACACTTCTGGCTGTTGACCCCCATGTCCCAGTCACGCCTCCTCTCCAGCCCAGCCCCTCCCGTCCTCACTCCTGTGAGTTGGGGAGATAGCACCTGTGTGTCTGAGGGGTGTCACTCTGCTCCTCAGTGCGACCGCTCAGGTGCCCCTGCTGACGTGCATCACAGAGGCAAGCCCGGGGATGACCCCGCCTTTTGGTCAAAGGTGTAATTTCTACGTTCTCTTGGTGGGTGCTCACTTTTCCTGCCTTGGGAGAATCAGCTCCCTAACACCAGTTCCAGTGTCCAGCCAGCGGAAGGGTGAAAGGAGATGGGCAAGGAGACAACAACTTTTGGGGGGCGGTGGGGGGAGGGGCCTGAGCCTGCCCCAGCTGCATCCCATCTGCCCTGGGCAGGCGGCCAGGCAAGGTAAGTGAAACCTGCTGCCCCCCATTAGGAGCTGGCTCGGTGGCTTTGAAGCGTGATGCAGTGATTACTTTGGAGCTGACTCCTTCTGGGCCGTGAGGGGGGCCTGGCCAATAAGGGGACAGGGCGGGGGCCCAGGGACTGGTTTGGAGTCAGTGCGGTTTCATTCTGGAGCTGCCTTAGTAGTGTAGCAGGAGGCATTAGTCAATTTCGGAGTCCAGTTTGATTAACTGGAGCATCAAAGTGGGCCAGTTGCACTGTGCCCCCGCCCCCGCCTGCTCCAGCCCGGGCCCAGCACTCCCCTCCTGCCTCCAGCCCGTCCTGCAGGGGCCTGTCTGACCCACATTCGTCAGCCTCCCCACCTCCGAGCCCTTCCATGGGTTACACTCCCGTGAGAGTTGTCTTCTCTCTTCCTTTGACATAACAGCAGAATGGGCCAAAGGCTTCCGCCTTCTCATTTGCTGCCTTTTCTCTTCCTTCAAAGGCCAGCCTCCCTCCCACCTGTGCCCCATTCCGTACCCATACCTCTTGCCAAGGAATCACAAGATCTGATCAATTCATTCGTGTAGGCAGTAGGGGGTTACTTTCCCCAGATTGTGTGTCTTGGAGAAGGGGTGTCCAGGGAGGGCAACGCTATACCCCAGCGTTTAAATGCAGAGTCTTGGACCTGGTGGTCAGGGCACGAGGGGGGAGATGAAGGGCATGCCCGCCGTACCCCAGGGCAGCTGTCTTCCTTGCCGACTTGAGGGCCCCCCCCACGTCCCCAGCCTTTCGCTCCAGTCTCTGCTCTCTTCTCCGTGGCATGTGTCGCCTCAGGTAATTTATTTCCTCTGGGAAATTCCTTCTGACTCTCAACTTCGACCCTTCCCGACCCTGCAGGATGGCAGGACTCAGTCTTCTCTCTCAGTTAAAAAATTTATGTTCCAGGTTTTATTTATTTATTTCATTTTTAGAGAGTGGGGAAGGGAGGGAGAAAGAAAGGGGGAGAAACACCAATGCGTAGTTGCCTCTCGCACA